GCTGTTCAATCATTTCTTTTACCAATTGTACCATATTAATAGTGGGAAAAGATTGCACTATTTTGTTTTTATTCTAGCAAAAAGAAAGTGATAAAAGTTAAAACTGCTTTTAAAAGAGCCATGAAATATATGTATAAAAGGAATACATAAAATAAACTTCTGATATATATATATATATATGCACACATGTACATACACAACAAATATCCAGAAAATATTTGAAAAAAGAAAATAAGTATTTTATTAGTAAATCAGAGAAAAAGTTTGGTTTTTTTTTTATATTTAGCACAGGGTCTACAGGGTCTACAGAGTCTCACTATGTAGATCATACTTAGTGATTCTCTTGTTTTCAGCCTCCCAAGTGCTGGGATTACAAGCTCGCATAACCACACCCAATCTCAATCACTGCCTCAGTGCACCCCAAGGGTGGGGTGTGCATGGCACACTGGGGATCAAACCCTGGCCCCTACGCTCTGCCTAAGCAGGTGCTTTAGTCCACTGAGCTATGGGGTTGGCTCTATGTACGTGTTTTCTTAACTCTGTCAAAGATAATGATATCACTGCAGGCTAATCCACTAGCCAAAAACTAAGATTAACATAACCACTCTACAGATGTAGAATGGTTACCTGGCAGGAACCAAACATTTTTGTAGAATCTGAAAAGATGTGCCAATCAGGTACAATAGAACAGAGAATATCATCTTTATCTCTGGTTTACTTGAACCAGAGCAATCTAACAAACAAAAGGGCCTTCCTTGCATATACTTCATCTCCATATTCACCCTCTCACTTTCAGTGTACCAAGTCCAACTCATTACTCTGACTTCCATAATGCAAAAATAGCCTTTACAATTTACACAGTCCAAGTGAGTGTTGATGGAAGAGACAAACGTTGAAAAACCAAGTGTCAGCTAATGGTGCCCAGAAGGGGAACTAAGCTTTGGGATGTGTTGTGCTTGACTTCCTTTTTGAGTAAAGAAAGAAAAAGAGCAGGGAGAAACATGAAGGACACTACTTTTAGAAAAAGCATCAAGTACATAGATTGGCCATAAGATTCACTTTCCCTAGAGTCTCCTGCTGACTCTGTCACACATTTTGTCATCTGCTTGGTGCCTAAAAGCAGCAATTCTCCACATTTATTCCAAACTTTTCATTTTACGAATGAAGAAACAGAAACCCAAGAACAGTTTATTAACTTGCCTACACTCAATCAGATTGTTATGAGCAAAGTTCAGTTCAATGACCTGGCTCCTGGACGCAGATTGTCTCTTTTGACTCTTATACTCTTCTCCACAAATTTCAGAAGGGATCTAGAGGCTGAAACATCAAAGTCTTGAAAGGAAAATGGGTAACTAGCATACCAAATGCATATAGAAAAGAAGTTACGTATCCTGTCATACTGTTTTTCGTTTGTTTTCATCATTCCATGCAAAAGTCAGTGTCTTGGAACTACCAGAATAGGTGAGTCATGTATACAGGTTTTGTTAATAACACTGTATCTATTACCAACACTGTAGCAAAAGACAGGACATGATTCTGTTGTTAAGGTTAGGATATTTCATTTTTAGAGATGTCTGTCCTTTCTGAAAAAAAAAGAAAATCACATCCTTGTATTTAAATGCGCGTAAACTTAAAAATATAATATGTGTTGCATACACCTCAGACTCATAGTAATCATCACACCTCAGCTTCCCTGGGGCTGGAATTACAGGCATGTACCACCACCCCGTTTCAGGGTCAGAACAGCATGATGCACCTGGGGTGCTGGGGCCAGCATAGCATGTGGTGCTGGGGATCAAACCCTAGTCCTTGTGCTTACCAAGCAGGACTTCAACCTCCCAGATATCTCCCCAGCCCTACCTCTGATCTTAGATTAAACTCTGAGGCTCCCAGGACACCAAAGATACGTCCATTATTTCAATACAATGAAATCTTTTAGGTAATTTAGTGGGCAGAACAATTTTTTTGAGGCAGGGTCTCACCATGTAATTCAGGCTGGATCTGAACTCACTATGTAGCTCAAGTTGGCCTTGAATTTGAATCAATGCTCCTACCTCAGCCTCCTGAATGCTGGGATTACAAGTGTGTGCCACCACACCTAGCTAGGAATAATATTATGGATTTTCCAGGGAAGAAAGTCTTCTAATTTTTCTGTCATAACTTTCACTTTGAAGGAAAAGCGTTAAATGTCTCCAATTTCTAGCCAAGTGGGCACAGGAAACCTAAAGCAAAATCTATTTTCTTGAAGGATGTGTTGGCCAATTCTAGAATTGCAAAGTAAGTCAATTTAAATCTTTAAACAATGAACAAACAAAAAAGGAGGGCTCTTTGAAAGGATCAAACTAAAGGCATCTAGAAAGTGTGAGGGAAAGGACGAAAAGTGAATACTGACTCTGCAAACAGGGCTGTGTATTTTCACCATTGCCCCAGCACCATCAGATTCAGGAGAAATCAAGGATTCCTCTCAGGCTTTCGGTAAAAAAAGTAAATTCAGGATTTAGATTTAAAAAAGTAAATTTTGAACACTGACTCTGCTTTTCACATTTGTACTTCAAATTCTTAGTATATCATAATAGTTCCAAAAAGTTACATTTAAAATGAATAAAAGCAGGAAAATCATAAAATCTGGAGGTACTAACATGGAAAATTGTGAAGGCTTTTTGCATTTTTATGTCTTTTTCTAGCTGAACAAAAATACAAGGTATTAGTAATAGGAGAAGGATTGTTATGATCAAGAGAAACCAGAGTATAATATGCGGTATTAATGATTACATGTACAGATGTGTGATAGGATTAACTAGCGAGGAAAGACTACTTATAGTTTGCATTAAGTATGAATGAGGCAAAACATCCTAGTAACACAATTCTGAATTAGGCAAAATCACAGAAATAATGAAATTCCACATATAAAATAACCCCAGAAATTTTGATTGTTCAGAAACACACAATTTCACCTTAAAAGTATCTTTGCTAAAAGTAATTTATATTTGCAAATTTTTATTTATAGTTGCAAATATAATTTATATTTGTAAAATGAAGAACTTCTGATTGTGCTGAAGTTCAGGGTTAATGCTCTCTCAGAGCTATAACATAAACTAATATTTAACAATAAAAATGCTACTGCATAAATGATACTTCCTGAAAAACCTATGTATAATTTCGGGTTCCATTTCATGATTCAATGTTCAAATTATGTCTAACTTAAAAAAAAACAAACAACTGTTTAACATTTTTTAAATTTCTTGTGCTAGGTAAAATGTTTCCACTTACATTGCTATCACTCTAAATATAAATTTTAAATTAATCTTAAAATGTATTAACTTTAAATGAAAACTCTTCATTCTCTAACTACTGAAAGCAGTACCAATGGTATTAAACATGTTACTATCACAGCTTGAAATTAACCCCTTAACTGTGTCAAAATGCCTAACTTGGAATAACTTCCAGTAGTTACATAAAGGCTCAGAACAAGGCAAAAAGAAGGAAACCATTAAAAGAAGTACAATGGAAAACAAAAAATTTTTACCAATTTAACAAAATTAAGCAAAATGACTCATATTGTTGGGTATAATAATTTTCTTGCTTTCAAATGAAAACTTAAGAGTGGTTTCTTCTATAGATAAGAGCTCTTGAATGCTTTATGCTGATGAAGATGTTAAGACTGATCCTTTTAATTTTTAAAATGTTACAGCCTGAATACTGAGAATGTTGATAGTTTGTAACAATATGATAGATGTAGACCAAGTCTAGACTCATGAGAAAGCATTTTCTAACCTCCTTAAAAAAAATTTTTTTTTCATTTTCCTTCAAGTACCACATATAAGCAGCACCTATTTCATGAGTGCTCATGTGCCAAGCACTGATCCTCATCTTTATTTTTAAATAAAGTAATTGGTAACTACTCTATTATTTTTCTCCCTCACTAATCTAGATACTCCATGGGGACAGGGACTTTATCTTGGTCTTTTTTTCCATCCCCAGAATGTGTGCCTAACACAGAGCAGCAAAAAAATACATTTACTGAATAATTTGGGGCTTTAAATTTTCATTCATCATAATCTAGAGAAATTCTAGTAGTATAACCAACCTTTAGTAAAGCATTTATAGTGCTTATAGTATACATGTATATATACATATATACATATATGTATATATACTGTACAAAAACGTATTTCTTACAAGTAACAATTTTTAACGAAGTCTGAAAATCGCTGCTTTATGTGGGTTATTTCATTTGCTTGTCATAATTCCCCTGTAGATAACACCATAATGTCAACTATAACATGACAAAACTGATTTTTCAGAAGTTATATATATGTTGTCCAAGATTCATCTCCAAGTTTGCACATCACTTCAGCAGATAATCACTCATAGGTACTGTAATCAGAAAATCTGAATTAACTAAAAATATGTTTGGAAGGCAAGCATCCCTGAATTTAAGACCTGGCTCTACTACACACCAGCTGTGTAGGCTTTGGCCTGTAACTCAGCCTCACTGAGCTCTGATTTCCTTATGTGTAAAATAAGAGTACCCTGTTTTAAGTTTAAAATGATTTACTGCACACAAGTAGCAAATTGCTGTGATTAAAATTACTATTGATGCTTTCCCCCTGGTCTTTCAGTCACCTTCAATCACAGACACCATACTTTTTGTAGAAAGTGTGAATTATGAATGTATTGGTTTAAACGGCCAAGTAAGGAAAGGAGGCCAAAGTGGCATAGAGCCATCCACGAGTTTCTCCTGCTACTAGTTGCGAAAGATGCCAAGATCAGGACACCTTGTTGAGCCAGGAAACTACTGTGAGAATCAAAAGAAACAACGATGCTTAAGTGTGAAGAAATTTTTTATCCTCCTCAAAACCAGAGCCACATCCATCATCTTCCTAGGCAGCCTGGCTTTAGCCTAAGCGAGGCGTGAGGAAGAGGACTGGATCTGTTCCCGCCCATTAAAGCCCGGGGTACCAAGGCGCTAGCTAGCACAGAGGTTCGGAGCAACTCACCCCGGAGACTCCGTTGATATTGCCCCAGAATCTCCTCCAGGGTAGAGTTCCCTGGGGACTTCGCCATGCACAGACTCTAGGCCCAGAGATGGGAGCCACGTGGGGATCTGTCCAGGGCAGTCTCCCCTAGGACAGGCCTAGCACTGAGGGGACGCCTGCCGCTTCCTGCCGTTGCTGTCACTGGGGAGCTCAAAACTCCGGAATGAGCGCTTGGGGCCGCCTCCTACCTAGGGGCCCTCGCAGTGAACGCCGGGAGTTGTAGTTCATAGTCTCCGAGTCTGCAGTCTCCGACCCTCTAGCTACACTACAATTCCCAGAGAGTATTTGTTTGGGCGGTTTGGCGGCCGAAGCCTGTTGCCAAGAGACAGTATTTGGAGGTTCCGCCCTTTCCCTCTAGTCCAGCCCTGTTGAGTCCCGCCTTCTTCCGAGACTTGTGTTGTGTGGCTCACCCAGCTGACAGAAAGGGCTCGCTGAATGACTTGACGCTTCAAAATGTGCTCGTATGTAGTTGACCCCCAAGGCTTCTGAGGGAAGCCTGTAAAGATCTCTAAGCCTGTATCAGTTGCTACATCTATCTAAACGGCGGAGTAAATTTTCAAGCAAAGAAGCTGCAAATCTTCCAAACAGCGCTAGCCTGTGAAGGGGGCCGACACTACAACTCCTAGCATGCCAGGCAACCCGACCTCGGCTTGGAATTGGCGGACTGCCCGCTGGGAAATGTAGTCCGCGTTGGTTGCAGTCCCTACTCTCGCCGGGGTCCGGTTCATTGTTCCTGCCGGTCTTTGGGGGGCACGCCTGCGCAGTGGGCAGCTGGGGAAGCGTGTGGGTGAGACCCTCGGCACCAGTCTTTTTCATTGTTTAGGACCGGCGCCTGCGCAGTAAGAGACCGTTGGACCCGGCGGGAGGAGGGGATAGGGCCTGGCTCCTCGCCCTTTCCCAGGCGCCTGCGCACTGAGCGGCCGCTCGCTGCCGTTACCGCTATGTGTGGGGCGTGTGTGGAATAACGTTATTGCCCAGCGGAGCTGAGCGGCCTGCGGCTCGGCCGTGGCAGCAACGACGACGACAGCGGCGGCGGCGGCGGCGGCGGCGGCGGCGACAGGGTGTGGGAGGATGGCGTGCTAAAGACTCACGGGACGCAACGCGCCCCGCCTCTCCGCCGGTCCCTCGCTCCACCGTGAGGGGTAAGTGATGCGCCGGCCGCTCCTCCACCCCCTCCTCGGATCTGCAGCGGGTCCGGGCGCGGCCAGCGGCGGGGCGGGGACGCGGCCCGGGCGGCGGAGGGCGCGCTGCCTGGATGCTCCCGAGACCCCGCCGCCCCGCCCCGGGCTCCCATCCCCCACCCCGCCGCCTGGGTCCCGTGGGTGCGGCGACCCCAGCTCTCCCCGGCCGCGGCCGCCGCCGCCGTCCCGTCGCGCCTCGGGGTGTGTAGTTCTACTCCGCGCCGCCCGGCTTTGTGCACCCTTCTCCCTGCGCCGTGAGCGGTTGGCGCAGGGTGCGGGCGGAGCATTGGAGGGAATGGCTGCGCGGCGGCTGGGGCTCGGGATTTCCCCCATCCCAGGACCGAGCGATGTGCCCTTCCCTATTGTATGTGGCTTTCGGAGCGGGAGCCGCTTTGGGGGAGGTCAGAGGACGAGCCTGTGGCCGCGTTGGGAGGGCAAGGAAGATGTCGTGTCATCACGCACCCAGCCTGGCGGCTGCACCCCGCGTCGCTTTGGCTCCGTAGTAAGCCCGGGGGAGGAGAGAGTGGCTTCCTGTCGGCTTCATTGTCCTAGGATTGAAACGTAGGGCTTTGGTGTACTTTCCTTCCATTTTTGCAAGGGGAAAACATATTAGCAGCTACCTAACACCGAGCGGGAAGACATGGGATTTACATTTTAAGCCCCCAAATCTTTGTTTTCTGGTTTTCATTAGAGTTTTACTTATTTTTTCCCCAAAAATATAAAGACAGAGATTATACCCGGTGGAGTCCAGTCTGCCAAGGTGATCAATATGAAATTACGACTAGGTAGGGAGGATAGACAAGGAAGCTGTTGTGTAGCAGGGAAGTGAAGGAACAGGATTGTTTTTTCATTTGTGTGGGTAAGGCATTCTTGTTCCTAAGGGAAGAGATTAGAATACGTGTTTCTTACTTATTTTTTAAATAATAAAAACAAATGACATGTTTCTGAAAATATTTTTAGCCTGTAAGTGACAATTCAGGTGTTTGGCAGGAATTTGTTGAGAATACACTTGGTTCAGAACATCTTTTAAAGTGGTTTGAATCTTAAATTTACAACGGTTCGAGGCCTTTTTCTACTAGTTCTGCTTAAAACAAGCAGAAGAAAGGATGAAAGCAGGATAAGGAGGAGGAGGTGGAGAAACAATGTGAGGGAGTTACGCTGCGATGCTTACAGTATCTAGATCTTCATTGATAAGCCCTAGGTGCTGAAGCTTTAAATACTCAAAAATTCAGCTCTGCAAATGCTACCTTGATCAATAGCAAGTTACAAGCCATTTTTTATTTTTCTGTCATTATTTATAAAAACCAGACCTGCTTTTAGTTCTACTTGTGTAGAGACCATAGAATTTTGTATTTATTTAAAGCACACTTGACAAGAGATAGAGGGATGTACTAAAGCTTGGAAAGTTAACTTTCTTGTCTGCCCAACCCAAACTATTGGAAGGCAACTCTTTGAATTGTATCAGTGGTTTTGGTTCTCACAGTTGTACTGGCTTGGGTTTGTCTACTGATACGGAACTTTATAGTTTTATAAAATAATTTACTATGTAAGGAAAAAATGTTTTTCTTACTACTTATTAGTAATATAGTTAATAGTTGAGATACATTTGTGAGTTGTTTCATAATATGCTCAACTGTTTAAAGTGTTATGAATAACATTTCCTTGTAGAAACTTACGAAGTTGATTTTTTTTGCGTTACTGAATTATTTTCAACTTTTTTTTTTTTTTTTTTTTTGTGGAACCAAGGATTGAACTCAGCCCTTGTGCTTGCCAGGGAAGCGCTTATTCCACTGAGCCATCTCCCCGACCTGATTTTGCCACATAAAATACTTTTTATTGCCTTACATTAAGTCTTTTTTTTCATCCCCCCTCCCTGAAATGGGGATTGAGCAAGGACTTTTGTCCTGATTTAAGCCCATAACCCTTTTCAACGTTAGAGACAAGTTCTCCTTAATGTTCTGCCCAAGTCATGAACTTGGGCAGGCCTTGCTTGAACTTGAGTTCCTCCTATTTCTGCCTCCCAGAGTGCTGGGATAAGAGGCATTTTCTTCAGAATTCACTTCTCAAATTTCAACTAATTTAAAGAAAAATGATCAGTAATTAAACTACATATGTAGAATTATTCAATGAAACTTTTCATTACAAGTTTGCTAATAAGTTTTATGGTTTTCTAAAATTTTGTCATAAGTAATCTACATGTTTCATATTTTTTATCATTAGAATAATGAAATTTTCAATGTAAACACTAGCATCATTCTTCATATTAATGCATATCTCAAGGTACTTTTGGGGGCTGGGTGATGGCTTGATGGAATAAGCGCTTCCCTGACAAGCGCAAGGGCCTGAGTTCAATCCCTGGTTCTGCCAAAAAAAAAAAAAAAAAAAAAAGATGCTTTTAAAAGTTCTGCACTTAATAGTTTGTTCCAAGCAGCAGTTTCTAGTTTTTTCTTTTCTATAGAAAAAAATACTACTTTTATTTTTGTATCTGATAGTAATGAAATTGCCCATGTAGTACTAAATATGGTATATATTTAAGCTTGTCAGTGTGTTAGAAAATGCAGTTCCTGAAAAATATTCACTATTATATTTACTGTGTAATTGTTCTTTTCTTCCTGTCTTAAACATTGGAATGTTAAGCAGTGTGCTTTTCTGATAAGTATCTGAGTGCATGGTACTTAATTGCAAACTAAGATATCTGTACAGTTACAGATTTTCTGGAAGAATAAAAGATCGGTTACATATCTGATAATACTTGGTTGAGCAGTTATTGATTGCTACATTAAACGTTGATCTCTTTCAGTAAGAAAAAGGTTTATTATTAATGAGGAAAAGTCTTGGACCATCTTTTCATTTAATATTTGTTAGTAATGAAGATTTCTAACAATAATTACTCGATGAATTGGTTTGAGTAAGCCATTTTGAAATATAAAAAGAATACAAAACATCTGTGGTTGATTAGGCTGATGTACTGTATTGTCCAGTTTAGTTGAAATGATTGTGCAACAGTATACAATTCTTTAACCAGAGTGAATAATAGCCAGTATGTAATAAGACTAGTTTTATGTCAAAGTCAGAAAACTGAACAACAAAAAGAAGATGAAACAAAGCATCATAACATTACTTCGATACAAGTAGTGATTGCATAGTACTGGAAAAGAACCCAAAACATGCATTGCTTAGATTTGAAAAACAAGTGAAGCAAAGCAGAAAAGAAGTTATTAAAAAAAGGCACAGAATTATTACCTTATGTGGCATGAGATTTTTTGAATGCATGAATGCCTACAGCGTATGGATCAACTAAGTGCCAGACACATTCCTCTCCCACCTCGTATGTGCATGCTGCGTGTCTGTGTGTCTGTGCATATGAATACATATTGAATTTATGCAACAGTTTTCCTACTTAGGTATTTATACATTTAAAGGTGAAACATTTTGAAGCACGATGTTACTGAATATCTGTTTTTGTCACATATTACTCAATAAGGTATAATACCTATCACTGAACCTTTGTCTTTAAATCCTTTTTACACATCTATTGTAGCAACTTAAAGGGCAATATTTTTTCCCTCTCAATGATACATTTAAGTTTAGAATTGGACAGAACTTTATAAGTCATCCATTCAGTGTGCCACTTACTGCCAATATTCCTGAGATGTTATTGAATCTACTTCTTCCATGAATCCCTCCCTGCATGTAGCAGAAAGCCTATTTTTCAAGAGTTTTTAATAGGAAGATATTATGTAAGTTGAGCTTTTCTCTGCTTTGCTATCTAGCATCTTCAAATTGATCACTGTTCTGTCATAAGTTGAGATGCAATAAGGTTTTTCTCAGGATAGTGGGTTTCTGTTAGATCATTCTGTTTTTTAAATGTTCTTCCACTTAAAATTTCACATGTTATGGTTTCCTTTGCTTTGCTTACCTCTGTCACTTGGATTTAGTCATTTTTGTTAGTGCTGCTG